AGTGCTCATTCTTTCAAAAAGTAGCCGAAATCCCTCATACGTCACAACGAAGTGGTGAGTTCAATCCAAAGCGGTCGCTACATTTCCAAAAAGTACTTATGGGCCAAAAACGGACACCGTGTGCAAAAGTTACGCTCAATTCTTTGAATGTCGATATTCCAAGCGTTCCAGATACGTAAGTGCTCATTCTTTAAAAAAGTAGCTGAAATCCCTCATACGTCATGACGAAGGGGTGAGTTCAATCCAAAACGGTCGCTACATTTCCAAAAAGTACTTATGGGCCCAAAACGGACAACGTGAGCTAAAGTTACGCTCAATTCTTCTTACATCGACTCCCATAGAGTTCCAAATATGCAAGTGCTCATTCTTTCAAAAAATGGCCGAAATCCCTCATCATCACGACGAAGTGGTGAGTTCAATCCAAAATGGTCGCTACATTTCCAGAAAGTACTTATGGGCAAAAAATGACACCGTGTGCAAAAGTTACGCTCAATTCTTCGAATACCGACAATCCAAGCGTTCCAAGTACGCAAGTGCTCATTCTTTCTAAAAGTAGCCGAAATCCCTCATACGTCATGATGAAGTGGTGAGTTCAATCAAAAACGGTCGCTACAATTCCAAAAAGTACTTATGGGCCAAAAACGGACAACGTGTGCAAAAGTTATGCTCAATTCTTCTTACACCGACTCTCCAAGCGTTCCAAATATGCACGTGCTCAGTCTTTCCAAAAATGGCCGAAATCCCACATATGTTATGATGAAGTTGTGAGTTCAATTCAAAACGGTCGCTACTTTTCTCGCTACATTTCCAAAAAGTACTTATGGGCCCAAAACGGACAACGTGTACAAAAGTTACGCTCAATTCTTCTTACGCCGACTCTCCAAGCGTTCCAAATATGCAAGTGCTCATTCTTTCGAAAAATGGCCAAAATCCCTCTTACGTCACGAGGAAGTTGTGAGTTCAATCCAAAACGGATGCTACATTTCCAAAAACTACTTATGGGCCCAAAACGGACATCGTGTGCAAAAGTTACGCTTAATTCTTCGAATGCCGAAAATCCAGGAGTTCCAAATACGCAAGTGCTCATTCTTTCAAAAAATAGCTGAAATCCCTCATACGTCATGACGAAGTGGTGAGTTCATTCTCCAAAACGGTCGCTACATTTCCAAAAAGTACTTATGGGCCCAAAACAGATAACATGTGCAAAAGTTACGCTCAATTCTTCTTACACCGACTCCCCAAGCGTTCCGAACATGCAAGCGCTCATTCTTTCGAAAATTGGCCAAAATCCCTCATACGTCACGATGAAGGGGTGAGTTCGATCCAAAGTGGTCGCTACATTTCGATAAAGTACTTATGGGCCAAAAACGGACACCGTGTGTAAAGGTAACGCTCAATTCTTCGAATGCCGACATTCCAAGCGTTCCAAATACACAAGTGCTCATTCTTTCAAAAAATAGCCGAAATCCCTCATACGTCACGATGAAGTGGTGAGTTCAATCCAAAACGGTCGCTACATTTCCAAAAAGTACTTATGGGCCCAAAATTGACACCGTGTGCAGAATTTACGCTCAATTCTTCTTACACCGACTCCCTAAGCGCTCCAAATATGCAAGTGCTTATTCTTTCGAAAAATGGCAAAAATCCCTCATACGTCACGATGAAGTGGTTAGTTCAATCCAAAGTGGTCGCTACATTTTCGAAACGTTCTTTCGGGCCCAAAATGGACGCCGTATGCAAAAGTTACGGTCAATTCTTCGAACGCTGACAATCCAAGTCTTCCAAATATGCAAGTGCTCATTCTTTCGAAAAATGGCGAAAATCCCTCCTACGTCACGATGAAGCGGTGAGTTCAATCCAAAATGGTCGTTACATTTTCGAAAAGTACTTATGGGCCCAAAACTGACATCGGGTGCAAATGTTACGCTCAATTCTTCGTACGCCAACTATCCAAGCGTTCCAAATATGCAAGTGCTCATTCTTTTGAAAAACGGGTAAAATCCCGCATACGTCACGACAAAGTGGAGAGTTCAATCCAAAACAGTCGCTACATTTCCGAAAGGTGCTTATGGACCCAAGACGGTCATTGTGTGCAAACGTTACGCTCAATTCTTCGTATGCGGACTATCCAAGCGTTCCAAATATACAAGTGCTCATTCTTTCGAAAAATGGCCGAAATCCCTCATACGTCACGACAAAGTGATGAGTTCAATACAAAACGATCGCTACATTTTCAAAAAGTACTTGGGGGCCCAAAATGGACATTGTATGCAAAAGTTACGCTCAATTCTTCGAATGCCGACAATCCAAGCATTCCAAATATGCAAGTGCTCATTCTTTAGAAAAATGGCCAAAATCCCTCCTACGTCACGACGAAGCGGTGAGTTCAATCCAAAACGGTCGCTACATTTCCGAAAAGTACTTATGGGCCCAAAATGGACATCGGGTGCAAATGTTATGCTCAATTCTTCGTACGCCAACTATCCAAGCGTTCCAAATATGCAAGTGCTCATTCTTTTGAAAAATGTCCAAAATCTCATATACATCACGACGAAGTGGTGAGTTCAATCCAAAACAGTCGCTACATTTCCGAAAAGTGCTTATGGACCCAAAACGGTCATCGTCTGCAAAAGTTACGCTCAATTCTTCGTATGCCGACTATCCAAGCGTTCCAAATATGCAAGTGCTCATTCTTTCGAAAAATGGCCGAAATCCCTCATACGTCATGACGAAGTGGTGAGTTCAATCCAAAACGGACGCTACATTTCCGAAAAGTACTTATGGGCCCAAAACGGACGTGGTACGCAAAAGTTACGTTCAATTCTTCGGACGCCCACAATCCAAGCATTCCAAATATGTAAGTGCTCATTCTTTTAAAAAATGGCTAAAATCTCTCATACGTCATGACGAAGCAGTGAGTTCAATCCGAAATGGTCGCTACATTTCCAAAGAGTACTTATGGGCCCAAAACGGACACCATGTGCAAAAGTTACGCTCAATTCTTCGTACGCCGACTATCCAAGCATTCCAAATATGCAAGTGCTCATTCCATCGAAAAATGGCCGAAATCCCGCATACTTCACGATGAAGTGGTGAGTTCAATCCAAAATGGTCGGTACATTTTTGAAAAGTACTTAGGGGACCAAAACGGATATCGTATGCAAAAGTTACACTCAATTCTTCGAACTCCAACAACCCATGCGTTCCAAATATGCAAGTGCTCATTCTTTCAAAAAATAGCCAAAATCCCTCATACATCACGATGAAGTGGTGAGTTCAATCTAAAATGGTCGCTACATTTCCGAGAAGTGCTTATGGACCCAAAACGATCATCGTGTGCAAAAGTTACGCTCAATTCTTCGTATGCGGACTATCCAAGCATTCCAAATATGCAAGTGCTCATTCTTTCGAAAAATGGCTAAAATCCCTCATACGTCATGACAAAGCGATGAGTTAAATACAAAACGGTCGCTACATTTCCGAAAAGTACTTGTGGGCCCAAAATGGACGTCGTATGCAAAAGTTACGCTCAATTCTTCGAACGCCAACAATCCAAGCGTTCCAAATATGCAAGTGCTCATTCTTTTGAAAAATGGCCAAAATCCCTCCTACATCACGATGAAGCGGTGAGTTCAACCCAAAACGGTCGCTACATTTCCGAAAAGTACTTATGGGCCCAAAACGGACATCGGGTGCAAATGTTACGCTCAATTCCTCGTACGCCAACTATCCAAGCGTTCCAAATATGCAAGTGCTCATTCTTTTGAAAAATGGCTAAAATCCCGTATACGTCACGACGAAGTGGTGAGTTCAGTCCAAAACAATCGCTACATTTCCGAAAAGTGCTTATGGACCCAAAACAGTCATCGTGTGCAAAAGTTACGCTCAATACTTCTTATGCGGACTATCCAAGTGTAATACCCTGAACTTCACGTTCTACATTTGGCCAATATGATTCATGCATTCCATGCTAATAACATTGTCATTTGTATCAATTTCCTGATTGCCTTTTCTTAAAACGATGCATTTGATCATCAAGGCTTTAAAATCTTAACATGGTGATAACCTTCGACTGTTTGATCTAGGTGGTGAATTTTATATTGAGCTATGATAGAAAGTTAGATTAACTAAATGTTGGAGATTGGCTTGGTAAGTAATATAATATTTGAAAGGCCGAAAATTTGTATCAACGAAGGTTCAAGCTTTCCATTCGGCTAATCGAGGTCACCTTAAACCCTAGATAGGTAATTCACATATTTGGGACATGAGGGATGAAGTGATATTATCACAACATAATAATATATGTCTTATATGACATTATAAATATTGAGGTGCGAATTGTTGAAATCGGTTGAGAATCGGGTAAGAAATTAAATGAACGGTTGAGGAATTAGTTCTATGAAATACTTTGGGATCTTAGGACAAGCGAAATGGATTGTAAACATGTCAAAATAAGCTGAGGATACTTGGTTTGTGCCTGCAAAGATAGATATAAAATCAGATTTTGCTACAAGTGACCACCTCATGCTTGAACACCTCGCGCTTGGGATGTTTGTCATTTTAGCACTCAATTCCTTCAACCTTAAGCCTCCAACACGTCCAATAAGTCCTTAGAACTTTACATAAGATATTTATAACTCTTCTAAGTCACATATGGCTCCATGTGGTGCAAGGGAGAAGTCAAAGTTGGCTGCAAGAAGCTACCTCCTACTTGGACAGCTCATGCTAAGGGATTTTCACTTTAATATATAATTGCTTCAACCCTAAGGCATAAATTTCGTGTCTAATCCCCAAGGTCTTAATAAAGTATGAATATATATCTTAAATATCATAAATGGACACAAAAATAATGGTAGAAAAGTCAAGTATTGCAGCCAAGATGACAGCTCCTGCTTAGTGACTCACCTTGATTGCTTGAGGTGGCTGCAGCCCATGATATTCTTAATCCTTAAGTAATATGCACGACTTCAACTATTTAAAGACCACTCATTTACCTCCTAGATAATATATTAACTCCCTAAACTCGTCCCTAAGTGATTCCAAGTGAAAAGAGGGTGAAACAGTCAAAGAGAAACAGAAACAGGAAGCTGGAATTTCTGAACAGCCTTGTTACTCCACAGTTTTGAGGTTTGTTTCTATTATTTCTTAAGGGGTTTATGATTTCTTGAACATCTGAAGTTGTTTACGATTAAGTTGGAGTGTTTGTTATGATGCATAAATAGGGGTAATTAATTGCAAGAATTTGAAAGAAAGTAATCTGGACAGAGATGAGGGATTGCTGGATTGAGTGATTTATACCTTGATTTTGGGATGATACTTAGTGTTTAACTTATATATGTCAATATGAACGTTTTTATATGTAAGTAGGGAGTGTAGAAATGATTTTAATGGCCTAGGATTCTGTTGGTATCATAATAATAAAATGGAAACCGAAAACAGTCAAAGGGAAAAACTGCCTGATTTTGTGTAGTGGAAAATGGACTGTTTTTGAAGCTCCAAACACTTCATTTGTCACAATGTTATGATCTGATTATCTTCACATATATGTTATAGGTGTGTGGTAAAAGTTTGGGAGCCGTTAAATGTAGGTAAGGACATGAAAAAGAATTTGAAAAATGAGTGGACGGTGATGGAAACCTAGAAAACAGATTCTGTCCATTTGGGTATTCAATGTGATTTCAACATTTAGATGTCCCCTAATGAACTCTTGGGCCTAGAAAATATATCCTAAGGAATACTAGGTTGTTGAAAACAATTGGATGACGTTGACGTTCATAATTGGACTCGAGCGATAGCGAGACTTATTGGATTAGTTTGTAATGCCATCGGTAACTTGAAATAATGATTTTGTCTAAATTGTTTTGGCATGAATGGACGTATTTTGGGATTGTGTGTGTTAAGATTATTAAATGGAGGATTGTTTTTAATATTAGATGATAATATAGGCGACTTTTCGACGTTGAGCGAAAAAGGAAATTGATACACACTCCATAGGAGCTTACACACATAAAGGCGAAAGGTAAGTGAAAATCCATTTGCAACTACGATGCAAGAACCTAGTATATGTTGACATAGTAATGTTGAAATATCTACATAACTTTGATAAGAGGCTTATAGCACATCATATGGTGGTTACGATCATGGAGTATGAGATTGCGTAACCTATTGACATCGATTTTCATTTATGAGCATTTTCATATGCATGTACGACATGTAACATGGTTGAAAATACTGCATGCAAAATATGATTTCAAAGTGAGTTTCATTATAAATGTTTTATTGACCACTACTAGGGCACAGAGGCATGTGAGGCATGCTTATGTGATATGTTTGGCATTGCGGGTGTTACTTCCTGGGTGATTGCAAAGGCAGATAGGGGATTGGCCTTTGGTGATCACGGGAGGGTGGACCACTCGACTATGCCCTTGTTATGATTATTGGCGCTGCCGGGTGGGAGACTTCTTGGGTGATCATAGGGGTAGTCAGGGGATGGGCCTCTAGTGGTCACGAGAGGATGGTCCACTTGTCGGTGTTGATTTCATACTGGCCATTTGATTATTGATATTGATATTATGCAGAGCTCTATCCGATGCATAGTAGGTGGGTCAAGGGCCCAATGAAATGAAAGATTTCAAGTGAAATGATTTCTAGTCGACTTTGATGAATATTGAAATATGATACTTTTTATCGTGATATTTAAAGTAAATGGCATGGTGTCATATGTTGTTATTACTCATGTTCAGGACATGCATGATTTTGCTTACTAAGCATTGACTTATGTAGTTCTTGCATTGTAGGTGAACATGGAACTACATAGAGAGCATGGCTAGCTGTGGAGCTCCTACAGGATTCCAGAGTTCGATGTACATGGATGACGACCTGTAGGGTTATTTTGTAGGCTGCCATCTGTTG